ATTAATATACGGGTTAAAACATGCAATTGAGACAGGCATCGTGCACTTTGTTAACAGGTAAATGAATTTGCCATTTCAAAACTATTCAGAATTTATCAAAAGCAAGTTCACTAAATGTTTTGCACTGCTCTCGGAGAATGATCCGGGGAGAATGATTGATGGATTGAGAAACGTTATTCAAATGGGCTAGGAAGGTGGAAAGAAATAGGTAATGATGACATAGAAAGTATACCCTTTCAATGGTTTGATTCACCCTCATTAAAATACTTCATCTAAAGAGGTAGCCTCGGAGTAAGTAATGCCGAAATGCCTTCCATAACCTATGACTTACTCAATATATACATTTGGCCCAGACATAAAATCATCAAACTTAATCTGACCCTATTTTAACAGGTATGTAAGAAGGGATTATGAAATCGGCCAAAAATGTTATCCAGTCTGATAATACTGATATTTATAATATGACCTGTTGTTGTATAATGAATATATGGTTCGTGAACCTACAATTTTCAATATGGTCTTAAAAAGTTCACTGTAGGTCAAAAGTAAATTTCGAACCGATACGATTTTAAAACATAAGACATCATACCACGTTAGATGCATAATGGGATTGGATGAGTACATAATGCGACCTAGATTTAAAGATGTACATAGTTCGCTAGCCATTTATAAACTAGAAAACGGCAACTCCATGGAGTAGCAAATCCCAACGAACACTATAACATATATGAATCTGTATTTGTCACAAAAATACAAACATTAAAGATATATCAGATTTTCTACCAATTTAAGCATTTTGGGTAACCATTTAAGAGTTTCAAAGGCAAAAAAAGTTTAAAAGACAATTTTTATTTTCTGAGGCACATATTAGGAAAACAATACAATAATTGTGATCTTAATGTCCTTCAATTTGAGAATAATATAGCCATAATTTGAAGAGGTCAGAAAATTATTGCTAAATCACAAATAAGGTGGTCATTTTGAATTTTACAAGGCCCAAATCAAAAAAGCGGTACAATATTCGCAATCTAATCTAAACTGCATTTCATTTGAGTATAATAAATCTATACTTCAGAAAGATCTTATAATTAACGCAAATTCCCGCTGGCAGCCATTTTGAATTTGCTGAGGCACAAATCCGAAAAATAATACCATAATAATGATCCACCCTAAATTTCCTTCAATTTGAGTATAATATAACCATATTTTGAAGAGATCAGAAAATTGTTGCTAAATCTCACATAAGTTTAAAATTAAAAACATAAGATTTTTGCAAAAAATTCCCGTCATTTTTAAAGCAGCGACCATTTTGAACTTTTTTTGCGTAAAACAATTCACCAATATTCGATGGACGGACTGACGGGCGGACGGACGGAGGGCTTCACTATATCCCTACCGAGCTTCGTTCGTTGGGATGATGATGTGTCAAACTATTTATCATAAGATGCCCAGATGGATTGAATCCAAACTGAACTTTGCTTTAATGTTAACATTAATCATTTTATAAATTGTTGAATAAACGTTAAATTTTTCTTGTAAGTGTTCCAAATACGTCCACACCAGTCACTAACTTCTTTCAATAGTAGTTAAATGAAAGCGCTAATAATGAAGACGAAATCTTTTAAAAAGCAATCTAAAAGTAGAACGCATTTAAAGAGTATAAGATAACAAACACCAAACAATATATATAATTTAATATCATGATTTAAAACAGGGGCGTCAGAAGGATTTTCCATGGGAAGGGGCGACTTTTGAGTATGAATGGGTCGTGCGTGAAGCGCGCAATCTAGGAGTATCGGGGGCATGCCCCAGAAAATTTTCGAACACTTTTGACCCTCTCTGATGCATTCTGAACATATCTCAGAACAATATTCCCAATAAAAAATGTGTTTTTAGAAAACGTAACTTTACGTTGACTAAAAAACTTTGACTTTTACTAAAATAGAGCTTTCAATTCTAGGGTCAGTTTCAAATCTAAAAAAATCTTGGAAGGGGGGGGGTGGTCGCCCCCAACGCCCTCCCCCTTCCGACGCCAATGTCAGATTAGTCTAATTTAGTTGTATATGGATTACAGGGGTTTGATTTCTAACCTGTTTCCTCTTTAAACTGACAAATGAAGATGGTCACAAGGGTTTTTAGCTAGACTACCTTGTTTCTTATGTTGACCAATTCACTTATTCGAAACACGGACTATACAAGCAAATATTAAAATACAATGAAAAACAAGCAAATGGTAGAATACAAGGAAATACAGTGGCAGAATATGTTCCTGGACGGGAATCAATGTCAGAAATCAGTTTTGTAAACATGCTTTATGATTGCATAACATATCACATGCTGATCAATATATAACTAGCATGTTATAGACAAATGGTCAGTCTTCACATTTGATACCCTTCGAAAGTATTACGGTTCGCCCGCTACACTCATTCGGAGTTGTATCTTGAACTAAATTTTACTGAATGGAAGTAATTTTTTTTGCTCTCATGATTAAAATGGAGAACTTTTGATTGGAAAAAATAATTTTGAGGCAAAAATTTTGATTATGGCAACTACATTATATTGGTCGCCTTAACGTACCTGAAATTAAATAAGAAATAGTTCTTAAGTGATATATATCAAACCAAAGTTATGTAACAGATCAGGAGATCACAATAGCACACTTACCGTCTTATAGGTAGCAACTTTCCATGAATCGAAGGCCGCATGATTTCAACCCGACTTGTCCCTACTTTGAGAACATCACAGAAGCCATAACAATTTGTCACTTATGGTGGTGACATAGAACTTGTAAATCATTTGTTGTAGTGAGCGTATATTATACCTACTATAGTCAGTAAGGGTAAAACAAACGGTCAGTCTTCATAACATTTCTAAGCAATATAATAGCTCGATAAATAAATCGAAGAAAGATTGAATTAGACCAGGAACTATATGCTAACGAATCTCTATTATGATCTGGAATCACCTGGGATGCTTGTGTCAGTTTTAATTGAGAGATCATGAAGTCATTCTTAAGGTATAGTAATGACAAATGTTTAGGGACCTTGATCACGTCCATTTGATTAGAAGGCACCAGAAGTGGTCATCGTATGGAATCTAGTTGGATATTTTCATATATTGCGGCAGATACTGAGCTACTTGGGTCAGTCAAAAAGTTCTGTTTATTTATCTCTAACTTTGTCATTTTGAGGATTTACTTCTTGATATTTGGTACATCTATAGAACATATATTTGTGCAACTATTGGCTAAATATTGTATCGCAACTACGATTGGTTATTGAATTATGGTTGCTATGGTTACAGAATTGTGGGGTATACGGTTCAGCTAAAAAACGTCATATTTTTAATGTCACATTAATTTCATTTGGCATCAATTCATTGAACAGTTTTTCATGTTAAAATATCAGATTGTGCAAATTGACAGGTTTTGATGCCAATTATATCGTCTTGAAGAAATCACAGTCAAGGAAATATTCAATTGTGACAATTTTCAGCCGACATAGATGATTTTCAGGATGAAAAAGTGAAAAAGTGATTTTGAGAAAAAATCATGTCAATTATTGATTCTCCTAGCAAGTTGTTAAAGTGGAAGCAAAGAAACTTGATACAGTGTATGGTAGAAAACGAAAACACTACAAAAAACATATTCACTTAATGAAGGTGCTTTTGGACAGGATGCTCCAAGATATAATACTGTCCGTAGATGGTACAATGACTTCTTGTCTGGAAAAAGGGATAAACTGTCTGATTCAGCACGAACTGGCCGGCCCAAGAGTTCTGTGAATGAGGACAATGCTGAGAAAATACAAGAGTTGATTGAGCAAGATAGGCACATTTCACTGGATGAAATTAGTTCCATTCTGAATATTTCTCATGGATCTTGTCATACAATCATCACTAAAGTATTGAAAAAGTGTTACGTAGCCTCAAAATGGGTTCCAAGATTCATCACTCAAGAACAGAAGCAAGAAAGAATTGATGTCTCGAGGCAGTTTCTTGATGAATATGGACAATGCTCATCCCCATACGAGTAATGTTGCCAAGACTGCCTTAGAATTCGAAGACCTCCAATGGAGCAGGATTCCACAAGCAATATACTCCCAAGACACATCTCCATGTGACTTTTACCTCTTCAGCAATCTAAAGAGAGGTCTTCGGGGGATCTGGTTTGATTCCGATGAGGCTCTGTGGGCAGCGGTGCGCAAACGTTTAAATGAATTGTCGGCTAGCGGTTTCAAAGGTGTTTTCAGAGACTGGGTAGAAAGGCACCGACAGGTCATTGCTGCAGGGGGCGACTATTTTGAAGGCTAAATAACTAAATTAAACTTAGATATGGGGTCTTAGTCAGAAAGGAGTTTTTAAATATTAAGACAGTTTAAAGTATATTTCATGTAATATAACAGTGTATGAAAATCAATAAAATTGGGTTGAACCGAGTACATCGCCCTTCTGTTACCATAGCAACCATTATTCAGTAACCAATGATAGTTGAGATACTATATTTAGTCAATATCAGCACAAATGTATGTTCTATATATGTGCCAAATATCAAGAAACAATTCCTCAAAATGACAAAGTTAGAGATAAATAAACAGAACTTTTTGACTGACCTAAGTACAAGTGATGTATTAATCTTAGATTAATGACACAATTGCTCCAGTTGATTTGAATGGAAAGAGAGAGTCGTATCTACCTGATCTATAATTATTTTGACGTAGAAATATTAAAATAATTGGGTAATACTGGAGTCAAAGAGGTATAATTATGAATAACTTTGTAACCAGGATGAGATGGTACTTCTCTATATGGGCATATAAATAGACAAGTTTTTTCCGACGTCCATTTTTAACAGAGGCCTACTTCACTACTAGCATATAAAAAGCTTCCGATTAAAGAGAACTTGGGTATCTAGAAGAAAAGAGAAATATAGAACCCCATCTCAAAATGACACTCCTATCGCATGAATATGTAAGACTTACCGTCCTGTTCGATTTCAGGCACGTTGGAAGAGATGGCATGACAGTGGGAAGAAAGGGGATACAAGCGTCCATATTCCAACTGTGACGTTATCAGAGCAGAAGCACAAGATGTTCAAGTCAGAGGTTGAGGGAGGTAGAACGTCATCTCCCCCATCCACTCGTGGGTAAGTGAATAATGATACAGTCCACAATATTGATATTGATCCTGTTTTGATCATCCAGTTCATTTCAGCGTTTGTGGTCAGGTAACGGTATTATTGTATTTTAAAAGAATGGCATCCTAGTGAGATATCAGTGTCCGTCTTTATCTTCTTATGACATAGAGAAGTGAAAGGTTAGACCACCAAAGTAATACCACCAAACCCCTTTCCCACCTTAAGGGGTTACTGCTCTTATGTAACCTTACGTGAAATATGGAAATTAGCTGAATGCCATGTATACATAGAACAGTAGCCCGAAATGTGAACCCACACAAAAAACCTCATTGAAAACCTCTGTATTACATAAACTCAACTATAATACCCTACCCAGTAACCAATAACCAGTAACCAATAACCAGTAACCACCCATTTCTTTACAGGACTCCACCAGCGACGGCAAAAAAGGTGAACGCCTATAGAATCAAAGATGAAAAGGAAACACCGGATGATGATAGGATATTATCAATTTCCAAAGGAATCAGTGTCATGAAAGAGGTTATGGATAGACTAAAGGAGGCTGGTATGGATGACGATGATGACACAGATGAAAATAGCAACACAAAGCCCATGCTTAAGTCAGCAACTGTGGAAATACCAAAATCGAAGTAAGCAAATCAAAATTTAAGATCTGCACTTGTCTATATTTAATATCCGAGTGTTTACAGACGTGAATTCAGAATCTCTAGTTCTGAGAATGAAATAGCTAGCTTACGAGCTTTAGTTTTACATTTTAGAATTCACTAAATGGTTAAATTCATCGATATGTGTAGTTGCAATTGTAACTTTCGCAATGTGTTGTTGCACTAATATAACTGCTTGTATCTAACTTGTCGCTTCCCTTAAAACATCTATCAGGCGCATTTAGAATACAAAATGATCAGTGGGGTCACTCTAGTACTATAAATTAATAAGCGACGAATTTGCTCTCACATTGAGGGATTTAAAACACTTCTGGGTATCAAAATCGATTTGTGAATTTATTGTGCGAACGTAATTAGGTCAGAAACGTGAATAAAGGACAATAACCGTTTCGAATAATATTGTGACTCACTGATCATTGTTATCATAACGTGATGGTACTATACTATATAAGGCCAATCAACTGAATTATTTGTTAAACTTTCCATTTCTCAAAAATCAAATCATTCCGTCGTTTTGATCACGGACAAATCTATGGGGTTGGTTTTTTCAGATCACTCTGTACTTACAAGGGTTTCTAAATTAATCACAACTTTTAATTATGTATTTACTCAATTAAAGCATATTTCAATTTTATGGCCTTCATTGTATTCTATGAGCTTGAAGCCTTTAATCCTGATTTAATGGTGCGTTGTTCTCCTTCCCTTGCAGACTCCAACAAGAGCCCCAACCTATCACAGAGGATACAATGTAAGCACATTCATTAATTTATTGTAAGGGAAACAGTGCACACATTTCTAAGGCCTTGGTGAATAAATTAGTGTGTAGCATATATATCGTCTCGCATATATTCCAAATACCAAAAATTAAATTTGTCCATGCAGTATTTATGGAACCAGTCTGATTCAACTGAACCCACTCTGTCGTTGGGGATTATGGCCCTTATTTTCGAATGTTCATTTTTGGCCCCGAATATGGTATCTATGTGAAAATAAGGAGGTGGCTCATATTTGGCTATGACCCAAATTACAGTAACATCGGCCAAAAATTAATGTCACGAATTAATTAAACTATTAGAGAGCCATAATAGGCTAAAAACCTGAGGACTGTACAATGTACAACATGTACACATGATAATGTCAAACTCGGCCAGCATTAATTGTAACGTTGACCTCATCAATTTTTGTCTCAAGTTCACAGATCAAGTCTTCCTATTCACCACGGAAGATCACAGGTTCTATCAAAGTTTCATTCATATTCTCGGATGGGATGGGAACATTTGTCCGCTATAATCAAGTAACTTTTCATTTTACAGAGAAAACCTCACATTTTTTACTCACGATTATAAAACGCATTAGATATGTAATAAATTGATTCATATCGACTTGTCTATGGTATTTCCTCTTTAAATCTTCTTTAAATGATCTTTTATAATTTCGACCATGCTATAATAGAATAGGGCGACGATTATTTCTCTCAAACGTAGTCCAACATAATTACACCAACAGAAATATTGTCAGAATAGAATTTACTGTAGTGAAAAAGATGGCACACGATGCAGAAGAATCTTGGAATTTCTCATAATTCGGGAAGAATATGATCGTTCCAGGTCATACCATCTCATTGAGTTCATTTTTGGATTTACTTTAAATCAACGGTTGAAGTCAATTTCAATTTGTTTCCGTAAATGATACAGAGTGGCCGAAAATGGAAACCCTACATTTTCCTCATATCTTTATCAACAATATGCTTCAGATTTGTCCACTATCGAGCTGGAGGCAAACCTGCACAGTTGTCAATGACCCAAATGCATACCTGATTTTATCTATTAAATGACCTTCTCAAGGTCAAAAGGTCGTTTTCAACTTGCTTCAAATTGACCATTTTTCCAAAATCATCTACAAGTTCTCAGAAGTTCAAATCTGACTTAAGATTGAACTCATCATATTTTGAACAATTGGGTGGTGACATTTTGTCATGTTATTACCTTGTTTTATATGTTGTTTCAGTGTTGCTTCTCATGCTCATATTATTCTAGTTTTATTGTTAATATATAATAGTCATTCTAGTGTTGCTTCTCATGTTTAAAGTGTTATTCTCGTGTTTCTTTCCATGTTTTCTTCATACAATGTCAACCTACATACATGTACATAATCTGGGGAGGTTGCTATTCAGTGCAGAGAAATTACAGATGCACGAAGCCTAATTGGGTACCATAGAAACACATCCACAGGTGATGGAGATTGCGATGAAGCAACAGTTAGTGATGCTGATGGGATATTGTCATGTATCTTTTGTAATCATCACAAGTGAGAAAAGAATCAATTCACGTTCCAGGGCCTGTGGAATATGAAACCTATATCGGAAACTGTATGGATTAAATCTCTGGAATAATCCATAAATGAAAAGCGACTGAAATCAATAAGGCCCCGTGTGCCGGATGGCTTAAAAGACTCTCAGTGTTTCTGACTACGTTAAATTACATCTATTGAATATTTTATGCAACAGATATTGTCTACTACATCAACCCAGTCAACTAACAGTTAACTATTCTTGTTATTAACCAAATGAGTAGACTGGTATAGAGAACCCGATTTATTGACGGTACGAGGAGCAGTAGCAAAACGTCTTGGACGTGATAGGGGATTCACACGCCAACGTAGCGTTATCTTAAACATTAAACACTACTTGGATTACACATGGATTATCAAGGTGGATTAACATGTATATTATAGCGATGTTTTCTGATAAGGGATGCCAATATCAATGCAGTAGGGATACGCTCTGTAAGTGAACTATATACATTGATACAACTCATCATTGAGTTAGAATGCCATTAATAATTACAGCTTTCCCTTAAAGCTGAGGGGGGATATCTAGAGAGAAGAGTGTATTTTCATGTTGATCTAAGGTACCAATCGATGTGTTCTTATTACGACATGATTTTATTCTAAGCATGTTCTTATCCCATAACAATGGAGTAATCCAGGTATGTGTATAGGTATGTACAGGTGAAGACGATGGACCGCTATGGGTGGGGTGGCGTGGGTGTATGCAGTACTCATTCGTGTTAATATTGTCAACATATCTTCGCTTTTTCCCAATTGTGGCACATTATGGACGAATCTGTTATACAGTAATGTTTAAAACGTTTGCTTGTTCGATTCGTTATCAGTTGATGTGGTTCAAATTGATTTTCTCTTGATCTCAATAATTGATTCTCTGAGGCTCGTATGGGATGTTTCACTTAGCTATATACCTGAAGGGTCTATGTTGCATGCTATGTTACATAGGGTTTGTGTGTATTTTACACGTTTTAATCATGAGACTCTCATCTTCTAATCATGTAGCTATAATTAATAAAACGGATGTGTCTTAATTAAAATAGGGCCGATCTCACAAATCACATCCATGACACGATAGTATAGCATATCACAGTCTGATTTTGGGAAGAAGAACTACTGGCTATACTAGTCAACTGACATAAAAAACACAGCAACCATCCGTCCATGGCGAAGTCCTAAGAAGAATTTGTAACTTAGTGACCTAATTGGCCACAACCGGATTTTGTTATTCCAGCCCTCACGATCAGAACACATTGCGTCCATCCACATCATGATTTCATTTCTTTTCATCCCCGAGATGTTGCAGATGTAACAGAGAGTTGTTATGAGTATCAGAATGTCCATAGACAATCTCTGATTTATATAAGAGTTGAGATTTGAGACTAGACCGGTAGGGGGGATAGACGAAGATGACTAGGGCAAATCAGAGAGGCCATACAGAATCTGGGGGTGGCAGAAATTGGTCAGAATAATAGCCAAACAAATCCCGTAATGCAATACCACCAGAGGCAGACGGCATACAGAAACAGTCTAAACCGTGCAACAAAGAAAGGGTACCCAGTGACGTCTCCTCAGTAGGTTGCTAGAAATGATTAGAACAAAATCGATGTAGATCCAAATTCTTTTGGATCTGTTTCTCCTTATTGGTTTTAAAACAAGCACAGCCTGATAGAGGAATACCAATGGCTCCGTATTTCGACTCCACCATGGGAGTTACAGTTAATTTGTTGTTCAAGATATTTATGAAATCAGCATTCTTGCGAAATGAACAGACTGAAGAGCAAAAGTTCAATGAGGAATGCCTAGGTGGCCAGAGTGATATATGAAGCACCGCGCTGATTCGAGAAATGAGCAAGAATTGCAAGAATCAATGGCCAGCTTGGTCTCAAGATGTTTACCTGCAAAGGAAAATGCAATTCTATAGTGTACGTCATACCTATCTGCTTCATGGTGCAGCAAATTGAGAGAAAGAAAGATTTTTTTAATACCAAATATCTTCAATCAGTTCACACCTATGTTAATGATCAGCCAACTCTGGTGAACGTTTTTCGACATTCTGCGGATTTATCAAAACCTATAATAAGTTGCTTGAGAGGAAGTCTGGCGAAAGTTTTTGCACTTTAAAAACGAAGTAATTCCTCAGGTAATTCTAAGAAGGATTATGACAGTCTAAAAAGAAAATACGAGTTAATCCAAGGGCATCCCTGTTGCTGACATGGACGGCTTAATGTAAAAGCAATGGTTATTTGGGTGAATGTTTTGTCTGTTAAAGATGCTCTTTTAAGCCAGCTGCAGTCAGTGAACTCTTTAAAAAGCCATTTGTAAGTCCATCTTTAACAGGTAACCTCCCATGTTAATGCAAACCTAATCCGGCATGGTTGAATTGGGACTTTACCTGAAGTTAATTAACGTTCAATGATTATCATGCTTAAGAGCAACACTTCAAATGAGAAAATCAAAAATCGCAATCTCGTCTTAACACGTTTAACAAATAGTGAAAAATAATGTCGATGACGCCTTTCATCTCAATCATGAGATGCCGATTCTAACATTTCTAAGTTCCCATTAGATGGAGATTATGTAAAAGATGAAACTATCATAGCATGTGTTATGGTATAAGAAAGATATGATGAGTATCTACCTTTAATACACCAGTGCAAAATCTTTATTATTGGATGTACATTCTGTGTTCCTATTGAACAAACAATGATAATTTAGATTACTCGAAGTACATTGATCAACATACATCTACATGGTCATTTCATTTCTATCACAATCTCCAATATATAATTTACCTACGGAATTATCATACGTATACATATACGTTGATGATGTACGTACGGCGATCTAATATTACATGCATGTCCAGAAATGTGAAATCAATTATAGACATGATAATGACAGTCAATTACAATTTCAACACTTCACCTATATACCGTGATGATCTTGTCTATGTAAGACTCACTTTCTGAAATCGATCATATGATTGTTCAAGCACTGAGGGTACGAGGAGGGCAATCGGAAATCTATGCCTGTACCGTGGATAAGGCTCCCTTTGAAGCAACTAATATAGAACAGTGTATTCTTTATGTTGACGCACTGAATGAGCTTACATGAAGTAATTATCATTAAGGTTCAGGTTGGTGTACAATGTGACCTTACGTGAAGTTATAATTAATGTTCAAACCCAAAGTGCGGAAGAATCACGAATGACGGATGCATATCTACAGGGTGGGTCAAAAATTAATCTACCTTGTAAGGTGACCTGATATAGTAGTCAATGATTTGATATATCCCAATCTTGACCAGCCACCTCGAAAATCTTACACGTATTGATTGTATCATGTGATGACATGACGTATCTTAAACTGTCAATTGACGTAACCTTACAACGTTCACGAGAGT